GACCCTGGGAAAGTTACTTAAACTCTGTTTGCCTCAGTTTCCTCATCTATAAAGTAGGGATAATAATAGCACCTACCTCCCATGATTGTTTTGAGGATCAAATGAGATAATATTTGTAAAGCGCTTTGTAAACCTTAAAGCATTGTATAACTGATAGTTGTTGCTGTAGATACCTTCCAGTGAACATTGTGGATACTGTATCCTTTGGGAGAATGGCACATGAATGTCAGATGCCACTTGACAAGTGGCTTTAGTGTCATGGCAATGGGTAACAAAATTTGATCAGCCTACACTCTCTTTCTGGTTAATTCATTGACAGTGTGCTTTTCTGTAGGCTTGCAGAGGCCATGCCACGACCATGCATGAATCTGCTGTAGACACAGTCAGCAAAGGCAAAATCACAAGAATTACAACCATGAAAGATGGAGCGTTATAGATATGGTTGATGAGGGTCGAGACTAGGAAAAGTGGGAAGAGGTGAAACCGAAACAGGGATGAACAAGAAGAAGATGGAGCAATCACAAGAACCAGAAATCATAAAGGAAAAAAAACAAACTCAGGAAGAGAGAAGTACTGGGAGAGAGATGGAAGAATAAGAGATTATGATTGCCAAGGAGCAATTCAGAGTTCAGGCTCTTGGAAGTGCATCAGTTTCAGGTGATACTGAGGTCTGAGGCCCTGTGATTACAGTTCATAATGACAAATACTATGAATGTGTTATGAGCGTTTTTTTATTTTTTATTTCCTTGTATTAATTTTTATTATGTGGTGGGGAGGTCAGGGCTGCTTCTCATAGTTTTGAGGTTATTGAGCTGGCTGAAACCTGTCCAAAGGAATGTGAAAATTTACTTAAGGCCTCAACCATCCCCTAGATAAGAAGCCAAAAAAAGGAGTCAAGGCTTCCCAAACGAGTTGGGTTTGCCTTATTTGAGGAAGATTCCCAACTGGCTCCTGTTCTGTAGTAATTTTGGAGACATGTAAATCTCCCTTCTGATTCAGCCAATTGTGAACCTTTTAAATCGAATTTCATTTGTAACCTGTAAACAGACTCAGAGAGTCTGTTTATTTAGGTCTGTCTCCTTAGGGGAAGGCATGAGATTATCATTCTGTTCGACAGAGTTTGTTCAACCTTTATCAAATGAAGCATGAGACAATAAATCTGTTTGACTAGGTTTGCATGACCGTTATGGTCTAAATATTGTTCCATGTAAAAAAAAAAAGATTATTTCTCTGTCTCTCTGATACAATTATCTCTATCAAGGCTTGTCAGAAATTCCCATCTTTGTTCAGGGTCATTTTTCTACCTCCCCAACCTGAGCTTAAGCATTATAAAAGCTAGGGTTTTTCCTCTATAATTTCTGTGCTGTGGAAGAGTTATTCAGCAGCACTATTGAACTCGTAGCAGATATTTCCCCCATAACAAATTTGGTAAATCATATAGGGACAAGCAGTAAGGTTGGAACTGGCACTTCACTTCAGAAGCTCTCCTGTACCCACCAGGTCATATTTGCCTTGGAGACTCTGAAGGCAAAAACCTAGTTGAAGCATAAAGACTACTGCTGTTCAATTAGCATAAAAACCACAAAATGAGGTAAGTCTGTCTTCTATGTGTGTCCTGTGCTTTGTTTTTGATTGGGGGGGGGGGGCTGTCTCTTGCATTTGAATAGTCTGTTGATATTTTGGGATACTTCATCTGTTAGCAGCCCAGACATTTTGATGAGCATGGCACTGTGATTCAGGTGTCTAAAATAAGGGCCAACTCACCAGCTGTGTGACTCTGGGCAAGTCATTTAACCACAATTGCCTTAAAAAAAAAGAAAAAAAACTGCAAAGTAAGGGCCAGAGTGAGGAATTCTAGGTTTTAACAGACAGGACAAGGCATTTTTTTTTCTGAACCCTGATTTCCTCAATATGTTGTGCCTTTTTTTGCCTCACTTTTCTGCAGGCACAAAAGCAAGAGATTTGTCTGTTTCTTGTGGTCATTGTCTCTGAGTCCCAGGCATTTAACCCTGGTAGGGTTCTTGTCTGCTTTCCAACCACTGGTTCTGACTGTTAATAAAGGGATCCTGGTTCAGTGACTTTTGCTTTGAGAAAAGCAAAAAAATCTCCAAGTAAAATTGCTTTTTTTAAAAGTAGTTTAGAACTCCATTAAAAATTTTAAATTGATTTTAAAATTTTAAATATAACACATCTATTCTAATTCTTAGAGAAAAAGTCTAATCTTTCAGCTTTTTTCTTTTTTGCTTATGTAACATAGGCCTCCAAATGTTTCTGTTAAGAGCAATGACAAAAGTTCTAGTAAACATGACGTTCTTAGATGATATTTTAAAATTTTTTTCATTTGATTCTGATGATAATTAAGAATAAAACTGAAAAAGTAGAGCAAAGTAATGAACTGAATGTACACAGATTAACAACTGAACTACTATACCTGAACTCAAAACTCTCAGAGTAAATCAAATTACAATCCCCAAATATGCCATCTCACATAGCAAGGTTTACCGCTTAGAGTTTAGAACAGGATATGATTATTCTTCATATTGCAATAATAATAAATTGCAATAAATAAAAGCATTTTCCTTTAGACCCCATTAGTATATAGAAGGCCTTTCTAAAAGTATTTGTTAGTCATTTTACTTTTCTTTTTTTTTCAGTTTAAAGATATCCTGATGTAAAAATCAATCAAGAAGTTAAGAAAATATTAATATTCTGGAGTTTTATACATAAAGTGAATAGATAATCAGAAAAACAGAACTGGCTACTATTGCATATTAGCTTGTAAAGTAGAAAAAAGAAATCTTTAAAACTGAGGTTTCTTGATACCAGGTTGGCTCAAAGATGTAACTTCAATACATATTATTCCCGGTGAAAGTTCATAATTTTCATAATCAGAAGTCAGACAATTCATAGAACTCACTACTATATCATAACCACACAAATTACCTCTCACATATCTTGGCTATGAGTGGATGAGGGGAGGGGCTACAGTTATCTCTAGTATCAGGATGGAATTCACCAAAGTCTCATTTACATATCCTTTCCAAGCATCTACCTTTTTTGCTTTTGTTTTTGTTTATTTCCACAGTTGATTTTGCCGGGGTTGAAAATTCAGATTCTGGCAAGATTTCATAGACAATGAGACTTCCCAAATAACAAGTTTACTTTGACCAACCAGATCAGGCCATTTGAATATGAAGGAGCACCTTCATTCTACACAAGTCTCCAAAGAGTAACAATTCAAAGTTATAAAGTAACAGCATTTCTTATACAATGGTTTCCAAAAATTACAATGTAAGGAATTTGTAAGCATAATACTAACATTAAACAATATCACAGATTTAAAATTTCCTAGGCTCAAAACAAAATATATTGCCAGTCAGATGACACTGATCCAGTTGAACACATTTCAGCCTTTATCTCACATGGAAAAATAATTTTACCTACCAATTTTGCATTCTATACTAGCTGCATTAGGGCAACTAGGTGGTGCCATAGTGCACAAAGCATAGGGTCTGGAGTCAGGAGGACCTGAGTTCAAATTCAGCCTCTGATACTTACTAGCTATATGACCCTGGGCAAGTCACTTAACTTCCCCTAGATTCAGTTTCCTTATCTGTAAAATGGAGATAAGCAACCTACTTCACACGGTCATTATAAGAATTAAATCAAATGATATAATGTATGTAAAGTGATTCACAAACTTTAAAGAATTATATCAATGTTAGTTTTTATTATTAGCTATTAAAGCACAATGCTTTCTGCTCCACCATACTTTCTTGAATAATATAGTATCATCAGAAGAATTTTATTTTTGTTTGTTTTAAATGGACTCTTGTGACATTGAGCATCTTGGGACCATTGAAAGCATTAGGTAAGTTCCAAAAAGCATTAAGTAAGATCCCAAAAGTAACCCAGCCCAGTCTCTTCATAATTTTTTTTCTGAAACTGACTTAATTCTTATCTAGAATACAATGTTATGTAAGACATATTAACATATTATAGATTATAGATACTATTGTGGTTGTGGTTGTGACAGCCCTTTGTTCTTGAAGAGGACTATGACATCATGGAGGCGATGACATGACTTACAATTGACCTTGATTTGAGTGAGGGAGGGCTGTGCAAAGTCACCAGCCTCAATTTCTCCTCCAGAGCCATCTGGGTCCTGTGGCCAGATATCGATCAGAATGACTAGAGATGGCCCAGGATGCAATGTATCAATAATATATCAATAAAGATAAGCCTAAACTAATATATTAAGATAATATATCAATATATTATATGTTACATGTACTGTGTGTATTATATCACATATAATATGGCTATTATATATTATGTATAATGGCATATATTACATATAATAATAATCTAAAATAATACAATCAATATACAATGATGGACTAAGTCCACGGGCTGACATCCAACTGCATGTCTTAATCTAGGCAGTATATACTGTTCTTCTCTTATTTCTTTTTTGTATGGCAAGTCAAGGCCTCTTTAGAGTAAGAGGACTGTTCTGCTCATAGGTATGTTCAACTATCTGAAGCACTTTCATGTACATAAGAGATTTGACTCTCCTATACAGACAGAGGATAAAGCTGAATTGTCCAGCTATTAGAATTTTGACCAGTGTGGCCACAGGTCAACAAGAGATTCCATACCTATGCTGAGTCCCAGATCTGGAATCAGGGCAGATTTGGATAAAACTTAGGAAAAACAAAATCCAGACAAAGTCTGAAGAAATCCTGTCAGAAGGAAGGATGACATTTCAGAGAGTAGTTTATAAGAATGTGTAAGAACTGGTCTGTGCATTTCAGCCTTAAGTTCCTTTGCTAAGCTACAAGTGATCAGCTGCCTGAGAAAGGAAACACAGACTTGCCCATACTAATCAGAACTATGTGTACTTCCTGGAAATAATATGATCATTAAAATGTGTTGCCAAGGAGCAGTGACCAAGCAACGAACAAAATAAAGCATTCTTTCTTGCTTTGCTTTTACAGTGAAAATGAGGGATTTATTTTGGATACTGACCAAGTCTCACTGAGTCAGGTAAGGCAGTGCTTGTCAATCTCCTAAGATTTCTGTGCTTGGAGAAATGTGATCGGTTGTTCTTATCTCCCTGTGGTAGCAGGAGGTCCAATACAGTGAATGGCATTCCCAATTCAAGTGGAATGGGAACGGATTATATTTCATTTCATTGAATTTCCTTTGTAAAAGGTCCCTTTCTCACACTGTACATGAATATCTCAAGGACCATTTCTGAGCCATAAATACAACTGTTTATCAAAAGATCATAAAATCTTACAGTTTGTTGAGAATGCAAAGGGCAAGTCTAGTTCTATTATTTCAAAATGAGGGAATTGAGGCCCTAAAAGGTGAAATAATGAGAGAGAGAGAGATCGATATAGATATATAGATAGATACATACATATATATACACACATGTATACAGATATACATACATCGATATATATATATATATTTTTTTACATATGCATGTGTGTATACAGGCATACATGCTTATATAAAATACAGCTAGGTGGTGGGGTGGATAGGGTATGAGGCTTGGAATCAGGAAGACTTATCTTGCTGACTTCATATCTGGCCTCAGACACTTACTAGTTGTGTGACCTTAGGCCAGTCACTTAACCATGTTTGCCTCAGTTTCCTCTTCTATAAAATAAGCTGGAGAAGGAAAGGGCAAACTACTCTGGTATCTCTGCCAAGAAAACTCCAAATAGGTCACAAAGAGTTGGACGTGACTGAAAAATGACTCAACAACAACAGGGGTGGGGGAAGAAGTCTAGTGGGCAGCTCTAAACCAACAAACTCTTTTCGAGACAGCTAAAAGTAAGTCTTTCTGACTCCAGGCCTGCCACTCTAACTGCCCCCACCCCAGGTACCAAGGGATTTAATGACCGAGGCTGCCCTCAAGATGATTTTGTTAAAACAAACCTTGGAACCAGACTCCATTGAGAGAGATCACTCTTATCTTATACTGGGTACTCAGCAACTCCCTCCCAATCGTAATGGCAAACAGCTCCTCCTTTCTTTGCCAAACTCAAGTGTCTTTGTATAGTCTGTGTCTCCTCTTCTAAAGTCCTCTCTAAGTGTCTTCCCCACCAGCTCTATGCAGTTGACTCCCAGTTATCTAGAGGAACGTATACTTTGATGCCTTAGCATAAGTATCTCAATTATTATCACCCATTCTTTCCTCAGCTCTTGCAATCTGGGTTCTACCCCCCAACATACGCTACTCTCCTGAAGCAGCTTTAAGATCACCACTGACCTTTGAATCATTGAATCAAGTGGATTCTTTTCTGTCTTCATCCACCCTGAGCCCTCTGTAGATTTTCACCACTTTTGACCCCCCTGGATAATTTTGTTTGTATTTTATTTATTTATTTAATTTATTTCTTTGTTATTATCTAAACTATACTTCTCTTTCCCTGCAGGAGTCCTTCTACCCTAGTGCCAGCCCATACCACAAAGAGAACTGGACAAAAGTAGAGATTTCTGAGCAGACGCACCATCTTAACTTACAAGAGTATGCGGGAGAAACAGTTGTCCAAAGGGAAATAGAAAAGAAGAGACAACTTTCCAGGAGCCATCCCATCACCAATGATTACCTGGTTAACGTTGGCAGCATTCCAGAAGAAAATAAAGGTAAATACCAACGTCTTTTCCTCCATTTTAAAGTGAACAGTAATAAGAAAGCGTGGGTGATATTGAATACAAATTCAAAAATGGAGAAAAAGTATTGATAGGTTGCCATCTGCAAAGAGTAGCTTCATCAATGAGATTATAGTCATCAATATTTTAAATAACATTTCCAACTGAATCTGCTCTGGGGAATTATAGACTCTGTCTAATAAGTTTCTTAAGAATGTGAGCATCTGGAGTATTGTGTGCCCCCAAAGGGCAATGCAGCATTCACAGCTTGTACAACACGAGAGCCTGTATTTCTTTGCCCTTCTCCATTGAGTAGAGTTGGCCTGAGCCATACGTAGGTACTTTGCCTAGTAGCCCTGGCCTCCTGAGAATTGCTCCAGTCCCTCCACTTGTATGGCACTGCTCTCTCTTCTCCTCCAACCTGTCTGATCACTTCCTTTCAGTTTCCTTTGCTGGATCATCATCCATGTCCCACCTCCACATTGTAGGTGTCCTGCTAAAGCTCTGACACTGTCAGTTCCCATGGACTCAGTTATCAGCTCTATTTAGATGACTCCTAAATCTGTATCTCTAGACCTCCTCTCTCTCCTAAGTTGCAGTCCCACTTTATCAACTACCTTCTGGATCTCTCCACTTGGACATCCAATGGTCATCTCAAACTCAACATGTTCAAAACAGAACTCATCTTCCTCCCCCCACTTCACCTAAATCTTTCTCTCCTCCAAACTTCCCATTTTTGTTGATCCTTTTAATCACCTGATTCACAACCTCTGAGTTATCTTCTATGCTTCATTCTCCCTCATCCAACCCCATATCCAATTGGCGCCAATTGGTGTCAATTACACTTGCACATCTCTCACATTCATGCCCTTCTCTCCACTCAGATAGCCATCATTCTAGCTCAGCTTTTCAACAACTTTTCCCTGGACTACTAGGAGCCTCCTAACTAGACTCCTGGTTTCCAGTCTCTCCCTTTTTCAATCCATCCTCTACACAATTGCAAAATAATCTTCCCAAAGCACAACTCTTAACAAGTCACTGCCCCACTCAAGAGGTTTCACCTACTTCCTATTGTCTCCAGTATACACCAGCTCTTTAACTTGGTTAGTCATTCAAGCTCTTTTAATTCTAGTTCTTGCCTGAATTTTTGGACTTAATGTTCTGTTCTAAGTATTTTACATTCCAGCCAAATTGACCTCCCTGCTATTTCCTAAATTCAGCCTTCCACCTACCACCTCCAAACCTTTGTCCTCCATTCTGAAAATGCACACCCTCTTTGTGTCCATCTTAGAATTCTTTCCTTCCTGCAAGGTTCAGGCCATTCTCAGCTGTCATCTATTCAAGGAATGCATTCCTTCCTTATAGCTACCTCTCATGTGCCATATCCTATGGGAAACCTTTCCTGATTCCCCTAATTTTTAATCAAATGATCTTCTATTTGTTTCCATCTCCCTGGTAAAAACAAAGCTCCTGAAGGGAAGGGATTTTTTTTCATATCTGACTTTGTATTCCCATGACTTAGAAAACCCTCTTGCACACAGAAGTGCTTAACAAATATTTATTGAATTGTAAAAAACAAATTACTCTCACCATGACTGAGGCTACTTCATAAAAGGAGGCTGACTTTTATAGCAGCTGTGTACTAATTCCCTAGAGGCTAGTGTGCCAGATTCCACGTAAAGCAGCATGATCTATACCTTCTAAATGTGCACGTTCTTAAGATGCTTATTGGAGTAATTAATAATTTCCCAGAGTAGATCATTTGGAAATGCTATTTCAACATGTTGATGACTCCATAAGTTCATCAGTGAGGGTACTCTCTCCAAGGGTGCAGGTGGCAACCCATCTACACCTCATGCTGTGTGACTTTTGGCCAAATCGACTCAGATTCTCCGGTTGGGGGCCCTCCTCTGCCTGTTGGGGAGCCTTCTTCTGTTTCTTGACATTGACAAGTAGCTCTCCATCAATTATCCTTCACTCTCAGTACCTGACTGACCCACTTTTGTTTTCTTTCATACATCAAGTGAGCATCATGGGACCTTAGCTCTGGGATTGGGAGTGGCCTCAGAGGACACTAAACTTTTCATTTTATAGATGGAGAAACTCAGGACCAGAGAAGGTAACTGACTCTCTTCAGGTCACTCAGGTGGGAATGAGTAAAATCAGGATCACATTCTGCCTCTTCTGATTCCAAATCCAGTGTTCGCTCCCAAAGAGCTGTCTTACTGTTTCTCAAGTACACTGTGATACATTAGAATTGACTTTCACCCATAAAGTGCTCCACGATTTTTCTTTGGGCAACTCGCAATTTTAGGTTTTCAGATACTGCAGAATTTTATGACTTATAGTCATACAGTATCATTAGAAGAATACTGATTTTTAAATGGTCTTTCACACACAAACACACAGGCACATACACCCTCAGGATGAGGGGTCGATAAAAGCACTGTTCAATTTCCCAAAGGCAACCCAACCTGTTCTGCTCTTCATCTTTCATTCTGGTCTCATTCCCAGCATCTCTTCAAGGTATGTGTCCTAACGGACACATAATGGGCTGTCTATCTACTTGCAAATCAGCTTGGATGATAGGTATTAGTCATCCATGGTTTTTCCTGGTTGAGAAACTCAGCCTTCATGATTGAAAAGCTCAGCAAAATTCCTCTGAATGATTGTAGATCTCATTTAGGAATCACTACATAGTACCAGCGCTTGATGCTAAACATCATTCAGCAACACGTTTGGTTGTTTAATGCCTCACTTGATATTAACCATCGGAGAGTCATTGAATAAAGTTGCTGCATTGTTACAATTTTCAATATTACTATTTCCATTTTTAAAAATAGGAAAGGAAGATGGATTGTTGGTCCTGAACATCATTCTTTTTTTTCTTTTTCTTTTTTTTTTCTTTGGCTAAGGACCAGGTCCCAGAACACCATGGAGAGGCAGCATAATAGAATAGAGAGAGATTCTTATCTGACTATCTGACTGTGTGACCTTGGACATGACACTTAACTTTGAGATGTTTTTGAAAGTCCCTGATCAACTCAGAATAAAGTGAATTTCACAAATGGTCTCACGATGAGGAGATCTGATAACAAAGCTTAAGACAAGGCCAGTAATACAAAATCAGTGGAAAGGTAGAGTTCACAAGGACCAAAATTCTTGTAGTCGCTCTGTCACTGTCCAACTCAAGTCAAGAAGCACTTATTAAGTGCCTACTGTGCTCCAGGCACTGCGTTAAATGCTGTCCAGTTCAGTGCCTTTGGGAAAATCACTGAAGCTTGTTTGTAGAATGAGAAGATTGGACTGAATGGTTTCTAAGGTCACTCCCAGTTCTAGAATACTTGGAGTCCATAATGCTTACTTGGGGCAAAGTATTGATGATGGCTGTGTTTTCCAGATGTAATCAAATACAGGTTGGACTCCACCGTTCAAAACAATGTGGTGTATGAGTTCCACTCCTTTATAACTGACCAAAAAGTGACAGACCAGAAATATCGGAATTTAACGCGATGTGAAAGCACCCTGAGAGCTATGGCTACACAAGACGCGACACGTGAAGGTAAATTACACACCCTACTTGCTTCTTTTTCTCTGATCTGTCAGACTCTCTCTTTTCAAAGGGGAAAACTCTCTGGGTCCTTAGCTTTACCCACTGCTCATTTCCAAAGATGGATGAAATCACGTTGCTGCCCTACAAAATCCGAGGCAGCATCTCATGACAGGGAAGTGAGAGACTAGTGCAAAACAGAGGGCACATATGTCGATGTGGCCAGTGTGGGAACATGTTCTGCTTGACTGTTTTTATGTCACAACAGGTTTGGGAGGATAGAGAGCAAGTGGGAGAGAGGGAAAAAATAAACGTTTGATCGGTGAAAAAAATACCAGGTAATGATAGAAATTCCCATCAGACAGTAGATGTCTAAGGATTCCACTCCCATAGTGGACATTTCTTAGCTAGGCTGTGAGTTTAACAAAAAATTGCATAGTCCTCCTCAAAATAAAGAGAGGGATTTGGCATAAGCATCATCATCATCTCCAACTTTTCCTAAAGAACATGTCCAGTGGTACAACAGACAGACAACTTGGTGGTGCAGTGGATAGAACACTGGACCTGGAGTCAGGAATATCTGAGTTCAAATCCAGCCTCAGTCACTTACTGCCTTTGTGACCCCAGGCAAGTCATTTAACCTCTATTTGCCTCAGTTCCTCATCTGTAAAATGGGGACACACTGGAGAAGGAAATGGCAAACCCTTCCAATATCTTGGCCAAGAAAACCCCAAATGGGGTCATGAAAAGTGGGCACAACTGAAAGGACTGAACAATAATAATGAGCAAAGTGCTATGGGGATTAAAATAAAACATGGTCCCTTCTCTCTGGAAGTTTATGATCTAGTTAGGAAGTTAGCTCTACATATTTACTTAGACTGGCAGATCCAAGTCCAAGACTGGACTTGGAATTGAGAAGACCCAATTTCAAGTCTGGTCTCTAAGCAGCTCTGTGACCAAGGAAAGTCCCTTAACCTCTTTCTGCCTCAGTTCCTTCATCTGCAAGATGGGGACAATAGTGGCATCCACTTCACGCAGTTAGTGGGAGGATCAAATGAAGTAGTGTATGTAAAATGTTTTTCAAACCTTAAAGCTTCATAGAAATGCTAACCATTATTTTATTCAGTCATTTTTCAGTCACGTCCCACTCACAGTGACCCCATTTGGGGTCTCGTTGGTAAAGATAATGGAGGGTTTCACCATTTCCTTCTCTGGATCATTTTATAGAAGAGGAAACTGAGATAAACAGGGTTAAGTGACTTGCCCAGGGTCACACAGCTAAGAAGTGTCTGAGGCAAGATTTGGATTCATGAGAATGAGTCTTCCTGACTCCCGGGTCAGCCCTCTATGCATTATGGCATCACCTACCTGTCTACCCAGCTTTTATTAGATTGTGGTATTTTTAAAAAAAAAGTGATTTATTATTTTCTTGTTCTTTTTTCCCAGTGACGTTTGACATAGGCAGGTACATAACTCTATCACCTGCACCAAATAATGGGATCGCTGTGACTTTAAAGCTCTCAAACACAAACCTGTATGTGACTGCAAAGAAGGAAAATGAACCTATACAACTACAGGTGAGCAATCCTTAGTATGCCTCTTAGATTTTGGATTCCTGACATTATCCTTAAAAGGACTAAGGAGCAGCTAGGTGGTGCGATGGCTAGAGCACTGGCCCTGGAGTCAGGAGGACCTCAGCTCAAATCCGGGCTCAGATACTTACAGGTTGTGTAACCCTGGGCTAGTCACCTAACCCCAACTGCCTCCAACAAAAAAAAAAAAGAGGATTGGGGCACTCCTTTATAATCATCATGCCCTTCCTTCTGCCTTTTCTACATTATTAAATTATGAAATGGTTGAGTGAGTTCTCCATGAAGCCCCATAATCTCTTTAGACCAAGGTTAAGCAGAACTCAGTTTCAGAACTTTTTATTCTGAAAAAGATTCAGAGGGCAACAAAGTCAACATGGCCCAGGAAGGTGATGTGGGAGACAAAAACAAACTAAAAGCAACCATCCCCAGTTCCTTTAACCAATCCTTGTACTCCAACATCCTGGTTGCCTCCTTCGGGACCCTCTCCACATAACCCATGTCCTCCTTAACTCTGAGTGCCCAGAGCTGCACACAGCTGCCTGGGTGAGGGCTGGCAGTAGGAGCAGCAGGGGTGGTATCTTCTCCTATTCCTGGGAGCTCTATCTCTTCTAAGCTTCTTGGAGCTGTCTCATCATGTCCTGGTCTCATGTGGAGCCTGACGCCTGCTAAAGCTCTCACACCTTTGTCAGAACAGCCATGTGTCCAGCTCTGTTTCTCCCATCTTCCACTTGGGTGACCCAAGTTTCAGACTTGCTAGTTATCCCCTTTGAATTTCAGCCTAACACTCTAGCTTTCCAAGATCTATTGGATCCTGACTCCATCATCCTGAATCCATTTGATTCTATTTTTACCTATTCCACATCTCTCTCTCTCCTAGTATGGATCACTAAAGAGATGGTTGCTAAATATCTAGAAAGGGAAGCAGTAATTATAAAGAACCATCAGGGCTTCATGAGGAACACATCAGACCAGACCTGCCTCTGCTAAAGAAGCAGATGAGATGGATTTGGCCAGTAGTGCTTAACTGGGTTTGAGCAAAATTTTTGATGAATGATTTAATTGAATATAAGTTGGAGGTTGACTGAATATGGCAGGGTCTAGTATCTAGCCCACAGAAGTTTTCTGTATTAAAGAAAAATTCACACTCAGCAAGAATCACTTCAATGCATTTGTAGATTATTCTCACAAAACTTTATAAAAATGAGAAAGAAGGCATATAGGTTAGTAATTTTTCTTGGTCACTTTTTTATATTAATGAACTATAAGATTTTTTACATGCTTCTCATCCTTTATATGCCTCTTGGATTGATCCTTTTACTTTCTAACAATTGTTACCTTCAGCATAAACCTGTTCTATGCACACTTGCTCTAATCTGATTGCTTTTACTTTTTTTTTTTAGTGCCATTTCTGTGTCCTTTCTAAGCACATTAAGGATTGTGATATTACACTCCAAAAGCAGTGGCTCAACTGGTCTTGTTTGTAAAAATGACTTGTTATAACAATTTTTGCAGATCTTTTCCATATTTTTCTGTTTGTTGTCCTCTTTCTCTTTTAATAGTGGGGATGACTGCTTAGTTGGACTTCAATTAAGATTTCTTTAAATTAATTTTACTCTCCATTGCTTCTATTCTTTATGAGGTAATAGTGCTCATAAGCTACCATCATCCTTCTCTGTATAATTTTATAAATGAGTTTATATTCTAAATCCACATGCCTTTTGACCACCATCTCTCCTTGCTTGCTTAAATAAGTCAAATGTTTGTTGACTAGGGCACTCTTTAGGTTCTTTCCGTCTTCTTGTTATGGTCATTGATTTATATTAATTACATTTCTACATGCAATCATTAAAAAACAAAGAAGAAGAATTCACACAGTCACCTAGACTTGGCATCAAGTCCAACTTTCAGGTGAATGAGTTACAGCCCTACTCTCAGCAGGTGGAGCTGATGGACAGAACTTACCCAGCAGGCTCCTGAAAGAGCTATAATGACTTCACAGTTACTTCTCAGACGGCCTAGAAGCTGTGCAAACTACCCTAGTAGCAGGCTTAACTGCTGCACATGGGGTGCTAGGGACTCAACTAACAGTATTACCCTTATATATTTTCAGCCATTTTTTCAGTCATGTCTGGCTCTTCATGACTTTATTTGGGGTTTTCTTTGCAAAGATACTAGAGTAGTTTGCCATTGCTTTCTCCAGTTCATTTTACCAATGAGGAAACTGAGGCAAACAGGGTTAAGTGACTTGCCCAGGGTCACACAGCTAGTAAGTGTCTGAGGATGGATTTGAACTCACAAAGATGAGTCTTCCTAACTCTGGGCCAGGCATTCTATCCACTGCACCACCTAGCTGCCCCTACCCTCAAATAACCTCACCCCAATTTAGGGAAAGATTGTTTTAGTAACCTTAAATATTGGGAAGTACACTATTTCAAGTGACTAAGTTGCTGGTTCCAATTTCTCCCAGATTGTAAACTCCATAACAATATTCCACATGTGAGTTTGTACAGTGCCTGGCACACAGAAGACTCAATAAATGTTTGATAAATGAATAAAGCTATGATCCACAGGTAAAGTTGAAGACCCCCAAGCTCATAGCTGTGCCCCCAAACTCAGTCCTACTTGAGGTAGCCTTTGATCTTTCTACCCTACAGACGTGCTCTCCAGAACTACTAAATGTGGCTACTCCTCTCAAGCCAAGTCACCACACACTTATTAAGCACTTACTATATGCCAGACACTGTGCTAAGTGCTAGGGATACAAAGAAAGGTCAAAACAGTTCCTGCCCTCAAGGAGCTTACATTCTAACAAAGGGAGCACGGGAAACAGCATGCAAAAAAAAATTGTACATAGAAGACATATACATGGTAAATTGGATAGAATGAAGGCCTTAGGATTTAGGAAGGGCGGAAAAGGCCTCTTACAGAATGTGGGGTTTGATCTGAGAACTGAAGGGATCCAGGGAAGTCAGGAAATGGAGCAGTCCAGGGCTACATGCAAAGGATGACACTGGACAGAAAGAGACAATGCTAGCAGCTGAGTCCTAGACCTCTTCCCTATATATGCAAAGGTTAAGATTTTTTTTTGCCTTTTTTTTCTTTTTGGTGAGGCAATTGGGGTTAAGTGACTTGCCCAGGGTCACACAGCTAATAAGTGTCAAGTGTCTGAGGCCAGACTTGAACTCAGGTCCTCCTGACCCTAAGGCTGGAGCAATATCCACTGTGCCACCTAGCTGCCCCCAGCGGTTAAGATTTTTAGAGGTATTCTAGTCACCAATTCCAAAAGTGTGACCAGAAAGCACTTAGCTCTACGTGGCACCAAAAAAAGAGTGTGATGCTCCTACCTCCTTCTGCCCACCCACTGCACCCCCTGACTGCCTCTTTCACCATTCTCCCTTCTTTATAAGAGAACAGGATGAGGGGTAGCTGTCACTGATCATCTGGGCTATCACCCAATCAATTGCACTGAAATCTGTCATTAAGAACCCTCAAGAACCTAGCCAATAGCTCACAGATGTTCAGATTCCTTAAGAATCTAGCCAATATGGCAGATCTTTAATAAACCTTGAAAAGAAAAGAATTGATTGGCCATTATTAATGGAGAGAGGAGAACACTGCGTCTGGTAGGCCAGACGCTGAGGGACTAAGTTGGTTTTCTTCCATCTGCCTCCACCTGTTCACTTAACAAGCCTGCTCTCTTCTCTTTTTCCTGAAGGAGATTCCAACGACACCGA